GGCTCGCCAAACAACAATGATGGCTGCAACCAAAAAATAGCCAGGTGTTGTGGCAGGCGCCTATGGTCCCAGCTACTTGGGAGGCAGAGGCAGGAGACTCACTTGAGCCCAGGAGTTGGAGGTTGCTGTGAGCTGTGATGACACAGCACCCAGGGGGACAGCTTGAGGCTCTGTCTCAAAAAAAAAAAAAAAGAGTACTACTAATAGGTAAATGCAGTCACACTAATTAATTCACTTAAGAATTTTACCATGAGATAGTAACTTTTAAGTAACTCTTAAAAATGAGGGCACCATTAGCATTATAAGCAATATTTCCTTGTATAAGACTATAGGTTGATTATAGAAAGGAATCCCAGAAACCAGGCATTGCCAGGACCATATTCCAATCACAATCCTGACCGCCCCCCTAAAAAATTCCTGTGACTTAATTTCTAACAACTTCTAGAATAATACCATCTCAAATAAAGGCTCCTATCAAAAAACAAATTACAGGCCAGGCATGTGGCTCACGCCTATAATCCTAGCACTCTGGGAGGCTGAGGCTAGTGGATCACCTGAGCTCATGAGTTCAAAAACAACCTTAGCAAGAGCAAGACCCCACCTCTTTAAAAAAAAAAAAAAGTAGCTGGGCGTTGTGGTAGGTGCCTGTAGTCCCAGCTGCTTGGGAGGCTAAGGCAAGAGAATCACTTAAGCCCAAGAGTTGGAGGTTGCTATGAACTGTGACACCACCTAACTCTACCTAGAGTGACAAAGTGAAACTGTCGCAAAATAAATAAATAAATAAATAAGGGGCCAACTGCAGTGGCTCATACCTATAATCCTGGCACTCTGGGAGGCCAAGGCAAGAGAACTGCTTGAATTCAGGAGTTCAAGATAGGCCTGAGCAAGAGCCAAGACCCCACCCCATTGCTACTAAAATAGAAAAATAGAAAAAACAGAAAAACAGGACAGCACCTGTGGCTCAAAGGAGAAAGGCACCCGCCACATATGCTGGAGGTGGTGGGTTCAAACCCAGTTTTGGCCAAAAATTGCAAAAAAAAAAAGGAAAAGAAAAACTAGGTATTATGGTGGGAGCCTGTAGTCCTAGCTACTCAGGAGGCTGAGGCAAGAGGATTACTTGAGCCCAGGAGTCTGAGACTGCTGTGGGCTAGGCTGACACCACAGCACTCTGAGGAAACAAAGTGAGACTCTGTCTCAAAAAAAAAATCACAGACAGAAGGTGTTGATGGTTACACAACATTAAAGTATTTAATGCTACAGAAATGTATAATTATTATAAGAATGATTAAGACGGTAAATTGTATGTCTATTTAACCACAATTTTTTAAATACCACACACAAAAATATCACACCTCTCTATTAACATAAGGAGAAAATAAATGATTTCCAATTAGTGCCACAAGGAAAGGAAAGGGGGAAAAAAAAATCCTGTTTGGCTCTAGAAACGGTTAAGTCTCTTAAGCAAAGATTAGGCAGAGCCCTTTCTCTTCTCATCTTAGTGTCAGTTATCCATGGTAAAGACATGAATGGCCAAGACACCTTCAAAAACTAAAAATAGATCATCTACCTCACTGGGATGTTACACATACCACTTCCTATTCCTTGATTCAAAATAGCACAACAGAGCATATTATTTGCTAATGCCTTCATTTCTAAATTCTACTCACTTTGTTGAATGAAGGAATACACTAAGTGTAAACAAACCTTGTATATAGGATATACAGAGCTCGGCAGCACCTGTGGCTCAAACATGCCATAGCGCTGGCCCCATATGCCAGAAGTGGCAGGTTCAAACCCAGCCCCGGACAAAAACTGTAAAAAGAAAAGAAAAAAGAATATACAGAGCCTATTAATTAAATCAAAGAAAGTAAAAGTAATTAATGCAGCTTAGCTGTTTTATTTTCCCTTGGAAATTGGCAAGGCACCAGCCTCTTGTTCTATTTCTGAATTCCGCTATACTAGTCATTTCTATTAGACATTGTTTTATTTTATTTTATTTTATTTTATTTTATTTTTTGAGACAGAGCCTCAAGCTGTCCCCCTGGGTAGAGTGCCGTGGCATCACAGCTCACAGCAACCTCCATCTCCTGGGCTCAAGCAAGTCTCCTGCCTCCGCCTCCCAAGTAGCTGGGACTACAGGCGCCCACCACAACGCCCGGCTATTTTTTGGTTGCAGTCGTCATTGTTGTTTGGCAGGCCCGGGCTGGATTCGAACCCACTACCTTAGGTGTATGTGGCTGGCGCCTTAGCCGCTTGAGCCACAGGCGCCAAGCCTAGACATTGTTTTAATAACTAATATTAGTACAATCCTAAAGCAAAAACTAAATTTGCCGCAACTTAGAAAGTGGGCCTTTATTCTCTCCAGCAAATTCCTTATTGGAGGCCATCACTAGGCACAAATTCCTGATCAAAACTGCCAACTTTTCTAGACATTTGCCTATCTCTTCTCTGCTTTAAGTACTATCAAAAGTGAACCCGTGCAGCACAAACGACATAACACTCACAACTTAAAAGGGAAAATCTAATTTTAGATCCAAATTATAGATTTCTTAAATTACCACCAATTCAGTTATTCTATATTCTCCGTCTTTAAATGTGTATCTTTCCTTCAACATCACCAGCTTAAGTAGGGTAAACTCAATTTAATATTTTGTAATTTAGATACTCCGATTCACTAATGAACATGTATATATTCATTTTAGTATGAGTTCCACGTTCTTTGCCTGTCTATTCTACTTCATACCACTTAGGAAAACATCATCCAAGCAGTCATGCAAATGGGCTTCAGACTAGTGAATCCTAATTTCTTTATATCATGCTGGTATTTTTTAGGTCTCTGAATCCACACTGTAAATTAGAGTTCAATAGATGCCCCTTCCAAATGATTGGTCAGCTTTACATTCTAGAAAACGCAAAGAGAAAATTAGTGCTTTACACTTCTGAGAGCTTCTAGAAGACATTCTTAGTTTCTAAGCTCTTACTTCACTTGAAGTATGCTAATCCTTGGTTTCAGCCACTTCTCTTAAACCACTAAAGGTTTAGTCAAGCCTAGTTTTCTCCTTCTATAACAGGAAAAAATACCCACTTGGGTTATCTCCATACCAAGAATAAGTGCCAGTTTTTACCATTTCAAAGAGAACTGTAAAAGTGGCTACAATTACCTAATTCAATTTTTAATTCCATCTGCAGTAGACACTCAACAAATATATCTAGCTAATAAAAACCTCTATTTGAATAAAACATTGTTTAATATACAGCTATTAGTGTTTATAATATTTAAGATAATATTTATAAATATTAGTGTTTATAATTTAAGATTACAGAGATAATTTTTTTTTTGAGACAGAGTCTCTCCCTTGTCACCCTCAGTAGAGTGCCCTGGCATCACAGCTACCACAACCTCAAACTCTTAGGCTCAAGCGATTCTCTTGTCTCAGCCTCCCAAGTAGCTGGGACCACAGGCGCCCACCACAACACCTAGCTATTTTTAGAGATGGGGTGTGGCTCTTGCTCCTGCTGTTCTCCAACCTGTGAGCTCAGGCAGTATACCCATCTCAGTTTCCCAGAGTGCTGGGATTACAGGTGTGAGCCACCACACCTGGCCATTACAGAGATTCTTTAAAACTCATTTCCCTATTAAAAATTCTGGTGAAATATTCCAGATTGCTGGTTTAAAATGGAGGGATCGTTGGCATGATTAATTAGGTTATGCAAATTTGTGCTTATGCTTTGATTTTTTTTCAAAGGTATGTTCTACAAGATTATGTTTCTTTTGTACTTAAAAATCATGATTTTCTTATTTTCTTCTTTTACCCCATGGCTTCTGAAACAAACCAAAACTGTTTCATGCCACAAGAGCATATTTACCAAATCACCTGATTATAATAGCAATATCCACTTTCAAAATCACTATGTTAAGATAAAACTCATCATTATACAAAGTCTTGGAATTACATTCTTGAGATGATTTTTATTTAAATCTTTCTGAACTTTAGATTTCAAACTTTCAAAAATACCTGAATCAACAAGTTCATCAATCAAAAACAAAGACTTGAAAAAAGCTGAGAATATTTTCTTGTAACCCCTCAATCACAATATGTTCCTCTTTTAACCTGCTATAATCAAAGAACTTTTTAAAGTAGTATATAATTGTTTCTGTTTGCAGGAAAGAATATGTTCTATTCAAGTGCAACATCTTTTTAAAACTGTGTGTTTATTATAATCAAAAAGCATTGACTGACTTCCCCAAAAGAAATTCTACTTGCTTTTGCAGAATTGGTAATTAATCAAAGTCCACAACCTTAAGAAAACTGACGAGACTATTTGATTTTCAGTCTCCATTAATCTTTCCATCATTATTTCCATAGCAACTAAGATATTTTAAATTGAATTTAGAAATCCATAAAAAGTTGCTTCTTAAATTTTGTAAGTTTCCAGAGTATCAAAGTTAAGTTAGACACAAAAAGTATGAAAGCAACTTTAAAAATCTTAGAATAAACTTGCCTTCACAAGCAATCAGATGTTTTTCACTAACAATACAAGACTCAAAATGGAAATAAGAAATCAAATCTTAGGGACAGTTGGACCATGTGGAAAAATAGTAAGCCAAGTTACTAGCCCCAAAAGCAGTGAAACATGAGGCAGAAGATTAAGCAGAAGAGACCAGATATAATTACCCAAATGTAAAAAAATGAACCATGTGATAAAATACTATCGCTAAAAATTTAAAAAATATATTAAAACCCACAAATTTATGAGAAACTGGCAAGAGGGAGGTATCATATCTAGAACCACATCAGACCTCTATAGTACAAAACCTCATTTTAAGAATATACTGATTCATCTCTTATTATTTGAAGTTTACCTATTCTCACATAATATATTCTCTGATAGGGTAATAGCAAAGTTTGATTTTTCACCTCCTCTAAGTACTATTACAAAGAATAATTTTCTACAATCTTGAAATTTTTCAAAGCTTTTTGAGAAACACACACAGATAATTTGGATTTAGTCGATTTTATTTACAGCTTTTTTGGGTTTTTTACATTTCAGAACATAACACAATTACATTTTCTCATTTTCTGACCTGCAAACAGATACCTTAAACGGAAATTTTTTTTTTTTAATTATCAAATTAGGTACATCCAAAATGCAACAATTACACATATGACAATTAATTCACAAAGTGTAATTTACTGGGACGTATCCTAAGAATTTAGGAACAGCCAGTCAGGAGAAATCTGACCAAATTTAGCAATCAACTATTTACATATCCAAAAAAAATCAAACCTATCTAAACTCCCAAACCACAAGCTTGAAAGTTTTTGTTAGATCCCCACTGGACAAAAGAGAATGATGATTCAAATCTATCCAGTCTTGACAGTTTTAGTACCAAATACTGGGCTATTCCCCAGTCTGTAACTGAATAGCAAGCATCTACTTATCAAACACCTAAGCATCAAACTTTTACACCATTATGCGCACAGAAAGGCTAAGTGTTCATTAATTAAAAACAAGTAGTCATTAAATATCCACACTATTCTCCCAATTCACCAGCCCTTACTGCAAGCCCAAATATGCAACCTGTGTCACATAGTGACAGGCAATTATTCATATATATGTGTGTGTATATATATATATATGTGTATATATACACACACACACATATATACACACTTGTGTGTATGTATACATACAGTATTAGGTACAAATGGCAATTAACAGTCCCTACAAAAATTAAGTTTCAGTTGAGGCTATGGCTCCTATGCCTTGGGATGGTTTTGCACTTCAAAACTGAAAAATACTGCTAAAATCTCACTTCCTTAAGACAAAATTTGATTGCATGTTCAGATTAAGTTTCTCAGTCTAAAAATGGCTATAAGGTAAATATTAAAAACCCAGCCAATTGAGTGCAACATCTCTCTCCAATGTGGCCAAGCTACTTCGTAGAAATAATTCCTAACTAAACTAAAAAAATCTGTGGCGACTTCCAATGGTCTTGCCTACCTTACTGTCCATGTTCACGTTTCAAATTGTGTCAACAAAGCCCGTACTTCGGGGGTCAGCTGCTTGGCAGCCTTAGCTGCCTCTGTGATAGCCTTGCGATACAGGCCCTTTCTCTTCTTATTAAAGCGTGACTGGAAGTTTTCTAAAAAGGGGGAGAGTTGCGAAAGAGCAAGGAAAGATGTTGTTGGAGACCCGAACCATGAAATACGAGCCTCCTGTCGGACTAAAAGGCCGTTATCTTTCCGGCTCACAGTTATAGTAAGAATACGGGCTGGCCACCAAGGGAAGCCATATATCTTGGCCCAAACAATGTCTCCTACACATATGGTCCTGCCATCTGGTGTGACGCATTTAGAGACGTTTTTGGAAAAGACTTTCATTTTCAAGGAATTACTGAGCTTTTTCTCTTCCTTTGAAGAGGAGGAAGTGGAGGAGGTGGAAGGTGCATGCATACTGCCTGGAGGAAAATCAAAGCTTTCAGAAGAGCTACACTCAGAGTTGGAAGATTTCAAATCATCTGTGCTATCAATGCTACACACTGAAGCACTGGAAGAGTCAGATTTCTTTTGATTTAGGGTCATGTAAACAGAGATATTGCTTTTGCTGCCCTTTTTGCCCATTGTCTGTGCTTCATCCTGCTCACCAGGCACATGCACTTCATTTGTGTCCTGAACCTCACTGCTGGCCTCTTCAGGGCCTTTTGAGGGACTCTGATTTTCTGAAGGGGCCTCACCTGCTGAGCGGGTAGAGGTGCAACGAGACTGGGGTTTGGGCGCCATCTTGCCACTCCGCATTTTCTCAAGTCCTGTCTTCAGAGAAGAGTCATTTTCTTCATTCCTGTACCTTTGTGGTTTTAAACGAACCCGGGGCGGAAGGGAACCTGAGCTAGGATTCTGATATCGACGTGTGAAGTGGACTTTTGAATGTGCATTTTTGGAAGTAGAGGTCTCACTTTGCTTCTTCTGTGCCTTTTCTTTGGCAATTTTTAACACTTCCCGAGCTTTTGCATGATCCATGTTCTTACTCTGGAGCACTTTTTTAGTGCTTAATTGAGCTTTTGATGTATTTGCCTGAGCAGAAACTCTCACTACTCTGCCTCTGCTGTGAGCAATATTTGAAACCTTAACCACAGCATTTCTTCTCTGGCTTTCATTTTGGTTTTTCCCATCCACTTTATGGTCAGTTTTCAGTTTTTTGTTCACAGTAGTTACACTTTCGTTTCTCCGTTTTTTATCTTCGTATTTAGAAGAGTCACTTGCACTACTACCTTTTCTAATTTCCTTTTTTTCAGCAACAACACTGTTTTTACATTTATCACACAAGACTTGCCTGGGTCGTAGTTTAATAGCATTCATTATTGAAGTGGGTTCTTCCCTGTACATTTTTCGTTTGGGTCGCTTAATTTTCCGAGGAGGTGGCTGAGGTATTGACTGGTTATATGTGTCCCTGATAAACAAAGGGGGAGGATAAGGTGCTCCTTCATGGAAGAGAGGTGGTGGTTTGGAAGTCCACAGGCTTTCAGCCAAGTTCAGCTCGGGAGGCGGCACAGGAGAAGGGTCATCAGGAACAGCACCATTCACTTCACGCTTGACTTCTGTTCCTTCTTGGAATGTATTACTTTGGAGCTGCATGGCTTCAGGTTTACCCTTATATTCCCTTTTGGGAAATACTGTCACAGGGATTCCATGGGGCCCAAACCTTTAAAAGAAACAAAAGAAAAAAACAAAGACATTAGGTTAAGACCTATCATTCAACAATACTGTATGTTTGCTTTTGGTATTACATTTTTAGTAAAAACAAATGGCTGTCCTAAGCAATGCCAGAATAGCTGACTTTACTTAAAATAAATCCTCCAGTTTTGAATCAGGCAAGAATGTTCTCTCAGATAGCTTAATAATAAGCATCATGTAACTGCATACAACATTTTCAGTAAATGCAATCATAAATTTCTGACATACATATCTATCCTTCTCAGGTTGTAACAGCTTTCAAAAACTTCACTGAGTAAATTCAGCCTCAACTACCCAGAAATACTGAGTAAGTAAAATTCCATCCCAACTTTATTGGTTAATTACTAAAGATTCAAAGAAAGTTGCTCCTTCATTCTTGCATCTGAACTTTTAAGCGTGTTATTCTGCTTCTCAAAAACAGAGAAATACAAGGAACTAAGACACTTGAATTGCCTCCAGAGCAAAAAGGTATACAGCTGTAGCTTTCAAACTTGCTAAACTGTATCTCACATTAAGAAATATTTTGGGGCTCGGCGCCTGTGGCTCAAGTGGCTAGGGCGCCAGCCATGTACACCCAAGGTGGCGGGTTCGAATCCCCAGCCCGG